CTCTTTCCTGAGCTTACTTCTGCTGCTTTTCATAAGTGCATTGTGATAAAGCAGAGAATTTTGATATTCCAAGGAACAAGAAGCATTTGATAAACATTCAAAGATAACCTACTTTAGTTACTGTTTTATTGCAGGAGGAAAGGATTTCCTTGGGTGCTATCTAACTGAATCCCAACTATGCAGTTGGTCCAATAAAAGATAAGATTTTGAATGCTTTTGAAGTTAGGGCGGCTAGGAGCTGGAACCAACTTCCAAGGGAGGTGGTGCTGGCCCCTACCCTGGGGGTCTTTAAGAAGAGGCTGGATGCCTACCTGGCTGGACTCATTTGAGTCCCGTTTTTGTTTTTAGGGTTTTTTGTTGTTCTCCCGCCCTGGCGGGGGGTCGGGCTAGAAGATCTATTAGGTCCCTTCCGACCCTAAAACTATGAAACTATGAAACTATGAATGATTTTATTGCAGTCATTTTTATTTTAGTCTAGGGCCCAAACTATAAAAAATAAAAATAAAAAAAGACACAAAATGATCAAAATACCCCTGTTCCCTTATTGTGCTTACATGTGTTTCAAGCTCAGGGGCAAACATTGAGCAAAATCACAATGTCTAGCTTTTGCTAATTTTCAAGCTACATAGCAATGTACACTGTGCACTAGAAAATAGGGTCAAATATCAGCTCTCTAAGTGGAATTTCATGCTGCTGTATGCTGATAGTATGTAACAAGTAGATGCAATTACAATGAAAATATAACTCATTTGACACAAGAGGATCTCCTTTTTTTTTTCTTATACAGGAAATGTAGAGGGTTGCCACATCCTGCACTCTGCTCACTGACACCAGGAGGTTTTTAAGACCCAGCTAGACAAAGCTTTGGCTGGGATGATCTAATTGGGACTGGTCCTGGTTTGAGCAGGGAGTTGGACTAGATGACCTTGAGAAATCCCTTCCAACCTTAATTTTCTGTGATTCTACGATGAGTCATATATGTTATTTGTAACAGTGATATTCAATTAAAGGCTTGATTCTGCTCCTGTTGAACTTTAGAGGAATCCCACCATTAATACCGATGAGATTTGACCTACTGACAGTGATTAGATATTCTCAGCTGTGACACAGCAACCAGCCTTTTAGTTAAAAAATTCTGGACTGAACAACTTTAAGAACATTTACTCTCCTAGGCTAAATGCAGACATTGGAGTGGGGAGTTGGGGAGAAGTTAGATTGCGTTCAAAATGGCCATCCAATCTAAAATAAGTCAGGATGGGGAGGACTAGTGGGAGAGTTAGGGAACAGGGTTGGGGGGAGACCCAAACAGGCTCAGGGTAGGGATTGGGGGTCCGTAGGGGGATCAGGGAAGCAGGCAAGGTCCACAAGGGGAGGATCTGGGGTTGGGGGGGCAAGCATTGTCTGGGGGAGCAATTGGTGGAATCAGGGATGCAGGAGGCATCTGATAGGGAAAGGGGGGATAGGTGGGATCTACAGGGAAGTGGAGGTAAAGACTGATCTGTGTGGGGTTGCTGGGATCCAGGAGGGTCTAACAGGATCGGGGGGTCCACGGGGTCCATGGGGGTCA